TCCACCCACGGCGTTACACAGCCCACCCCCCCCCCCCCCACCCCCCCCCCATCCCGAGGATGTTTTTGAGTTCTAAAACCCACCATAGGCGCGGAAAAAAAAAATATATGGGAAAAAATAAGGCTTGTTCCCTGGACATTATTAACGGTGCAGCCTGAAATATACATTTTTTTGCCTTAAAGAAAAGGGAATCATTATCAAGCCATTACGCATTAAGAAATGTCATTCAGTCATTTTTATTCATTCCGCTGAAATCTTCGTAAAAGCCCGAATCATACTTCTGCAAGCAGCAATTTTGTTAATCCAGGGGGTTATTACTCTGGTCCCTTATTAGGATCTATACTGCTGCCAAGCAATCCTATAACCTTCTCAAAAGAAGTTTACCTCCGTGTTATAAAACCAGTAGTGGTATTTATACTGTGCAATAATTAGTGTATTACTTGAATCCACTAACAGGTTCATTTTATCTCCGCACAAAACCCCTAGTCTGCTTATAGAAAGCTTGTGCCTCCTTTGGCGCTGTTAAAGTGGTGAAAGAGTGAATGAAGGCTGGTAGCACTTTCTCCTTTCGCCGTGCCTTAATTCCCATCTCTTTTTGCTCTCATCCAATTAGTGCAGTGTATTAAGCGGTTTATCATCTCATAGTCAGCTATTGAGAGAAACAAGGCGAACACTTTGCAATAGAGCCTGCTCTCCTTTGACACCCTCAGGTACTTACATATTCCACTGTGCTATGAATAATAGAGGAAGAATAGAGCGCTAATTCCCTCATCAAAGAATGCCTTGTCTGCTGCTTTGCTCAACAACACCATTCTGATCAAAAGAAAAGCAATAAAGCTTAGCATAACAAAACGAAACCTACTTATTAGCTTAGTGGTTAAATTAATGCAGAGCCGCTGCTATTCAAAACCAAGGTTTGAAAACAGCCTCCAACAACCTGATAATGCTGCCTTCGGGATGAAGGAATTTTAATCTGAAATTTGAAGCTGGCACAGATGAGTTAATCTATTAAACTGCTATGAGGAGGGTGCGGGAGAACTATTCAATTAAGGCGCATTTAAGGTGCTCTGCACAAGACGGGGAAGGATGCGGGAGGGAAGATGGGCTCCGGTTCGGCAGTAGAAAAGTGCCTTTGGACGGGGAAAAAGGGGAGGGGGGGGAGAGGGGGGGGGGGGGGAGAGGGGGGGTTTTGGCACAGCAACAAACCTGTTTGCGGCTGGGAATTGGTTTTCGTATCACATATGTCATCGGCGAAACCTGGCTACCGGCTCCATATAGCAACACTCCTCTTCCTCAGCTGCGAATAAATACAAATAAACACAAACCTTCATTTTAACAGCGTTGTGTGTGGGGGGGGGTTAGGAACGAGGGACAAGAGGAGGGAAAGAGCTTCGGGCCAGGTCAGCCTCCAAACGCAAAGCCCCCAGCTTTAATCTTTCCCAAATTCTTTACAGCACTGTGTTTACCAGCTCCCTTTAATATTAAATGCTATAAAGATGATTTTGCGTTTCCCAGCCTTTCTCTGGGGCCGAGATGAGGCACGGTGCCCAGAGCTTGTTAGGGGCCGGGGCTGGGGGGGGGGGAGAAAGCCAGTTTACTCCTTGCCAAGACTTCAGCTCTGAGCTGACCAACTCTGCTGAGAGGAATCAAAAATTGCCTTAATTCGGGGTAAAAGCCCTCGTTTCCGATCCTCCCTCCCAACCCTCTGGCTGGCTGGGGTGGTGGTGCGGGGGGGGCTCCGGGATTTTGCCCCCCACCGCCACTCCTGTAACAGAGCGGGCTGTGCAGGAGGGAACAGCCCCTCGCAGGGCTACTATATGCTGCTGCGCCCTACACAATCATTCCACAACACTCTCATTTAATCTAAACATCCCTAAACTTGCAAATTAACAGGCTCTTCAGCTGTAATTATACAGATACATACAAGTGCCACAGGGTCAGGTTATGCCATATCTATCCATTTTATTTGTATACCTAACGTCTGGAGGAGAAGGTCACACTTTTCGCTTTCCTAAGGCATTCTACCCGGTTAATATCAGTAATATCTTCATAATCCTAATTGGGTTGGACATGAAAAAACTAAAAAAACCTGCCTGAAATTACAGGAAGCCAGGATCTTTCAAAGAGCTGCAACATCAACGTGCCATCTAGGCAGCAACACCTTCTCTCCCAGACAAGCCTCCGAGTGAAGTCTCTTTTACGATAACCCAGCCGAACGCGTCGGGAAGGAACGACGGCTTGCCGGGGGTGGGACACGACCAACGCAAACCCGGGGATCCAGCAGGTTCCGCTTCTCACGTGCTGTGGCTCAATGGGAGTGAAAAAGAAAGGGTTTAGCCCCCAAAGTTGCTCAGAAGACAACCGTGCGTTCGGGCATACGCGAACAGACGTTACCCGTACGGACACACGGCGTCTTCCGATGCCACTTGAGGGACGAACGAATGTCATAAAATACGCATCACACCAACAGAGACGCGTATCCCTTCGGTGCCCAACACGTTCGCGTTGATGCTCCTACTTTTTCTTCAAGCTCCGTTCGTTACTGGCCGGCCGGCCTGAAAAGGGACACACAGGCACTCCTGTAAAACCAGAAGTCTGGAGCAATGCGACCTCGCAGGGAGTACTGTCAACAGTCAGATGATCAAATCGCATTCACTTTTACTAGAAAACTTTATTTTTTTTCCTTCAAGTGTTAAGAAAACTTTACATTTTATACTGATAAAGATTTAAAAGAAAATTTTTATAACCTTACATTAATATATCACATTGCAAACTTAACGGTGAACATGAGTACAACAATATTTTGTGTACAAAAGCAGGCACCCAAATTTTGCTCTTTCCTTGTCACATCTGCTTGTCATTTTATTAAAAGGAAATGAAAAAATACAATTTGTTTATAAAACTTTTAAAACCTCCAGTACAGTAATGATTACAGAACAGCAACAGCGATTCTCTGCTTTCCCTTCCCCCATTACCAGTTATGATGCCACCCCAACCACCTTTTTCCCTATTGATCACTTACTTTCAAATACTTTGCATGGAAAGAAAGAAACGAAACACATTTATGTCCTGTGTGCGTACAAAACGGGTTTTGTACATGTGTATGTCTTCACATCCACGCAGAAATTTCCAACATGGCAAAATGCTATGCTTAACGCTTCTTAATCAAAAGATGGTCCCTATTTTTAGAACCTCCAGGTTTCAGTCCTTCTTTACCCTTAATAAATTTGCAAGTAAAGCGTCCCCACCTCTTGTTCAGAAGGTACTAGGACATTTGAAGGCATTTAGGTTTAGTATTGTTTTTAATTGGTATGTTTATGATCACGAAGAAGATAAACTGTGAAAAGGCAAAACATTAGTGCTCCTACTGAGACCTCTACTAACCTCTCTTCCTGAGAGCACCTCTACTAAATACCCTGGAGCAAAGTCTAGGATCACTTACATTCCAGCAACTCTCACTGGGAATTATCCAATTAAAGCAGCAATTCCCCCACCCCCTTTTCCCTCATAGGTCTAAATACACAACAAAACATATTGCAAAAAATCAACTACTCCTTATTTTAATAACCCTGGGTTCCCAACGAAGAAAAGATCAGAAGATAAAACCACCCCGAATGTTTCATGTCCACATGAATCATACATCCCGTATTCATCTTCCGTTTCTCCTCCTCCGAAGAGTCAAGACTATTAAAGCATCATTGTGCATACTGAAATAAGAGTATTGCTTAAGAGATCATTACTGTTAAACAAGGAACTAGCCTCTCGTCTCCCTCCATTTTTAATCAATCAATCACTGCCTTTCATTATTGGACTCTCCCACAGATCTTCCTATACTGGCGGTGAAGAGTTTGCTGAGGTTCACTTCTGAGTAGCCACTCATGGACAGACATTTGTCTACGGTGCTCTTCAGTCTTTTGTAGGCTTCCAAGATTTCCTTCCTGAGTGGCTTCTTCTTCAAATACTCTAAAAGAACAAAGGGAAAAAAAAAGAAAAAAAGAACCAAACAGAGAAGGATTATTTGACCACAAAAAGACAGTACTTTCGCATTCACTCCTACTGCGAATCGTGGTATTTTAAAATGAGGTGAATGTTGTAGCTAGCAAAGACGACATTTGCGGCAAGCTCTCCCAACTTCGGCTGCCTTCCCCCCCTCGCCCACCGCTCAGAGGGGCCGTGGTGAACCTGCACAGGGTGGCGATCCTGAAGCTCCCTCAGCCCCACCGGTGCCCAGTGCAGCGGCTCCTGCCAGGAGCTGGCAAGAAGCACCGCTTGCCCAGTTAAATCGTCTAACTGGAGCAAAATGGGGGGTGCCTAACTCACCGCAGAGAAAATAGGCGATGGCAGGGCTGGCTGTGAGAGGATCTCGTTTAAAAGGGGCAGGTGCCTTAACTTAGCGAGAACTACGCGGAGGCCCCAGGGGTTTGAAGCAGGGAGAGGTTCTGCCCGAGTCTGGCTTCAGAAGGGAAGGAAACCATGCTTCGCTCCTCTCCTCTCCTCCCTGCTGCTGCCAGGACCGGCACCGGCACAGCCCAGGACGGGTTTATCACCCGTCTTGTGCATCCTCACGTGCGCCTTGTCCGCAGGATGGGAATTGCGATGCTCAGCACCACGAAGGTGTTGGAAGGGAAAGGGCAGTGGCACAAACAGGGGAAATTCCATGCTATCCCACCCTAAAAAGGAGACACGATGCCCGGTATCTCAACCAGGA